ATAGAAAAGGTATGGTGGTCAAATGTCTCATTAGTTTACAGATTGACACCCCAGATGATTCTTTCATCAAGAATTTTACCATAAAGTAATGATAGATTTTTAGTGCTGCTGTATATGTATGATAAATTCTTTGTAAAGTTGTTAATAATTAGACTAAATAAAAATAAAATTGCAATGTAGTTATCCTAAGATATGTAAAATCCCATGTACTTATTCTAAGATATGATTAAATAAATTATTTTGGTATGTTCGTATGTGTATAGCTCTGAGGGATCCTTGAAGTATGTGTCAGAATTTGTTTCCGTGGTCTGCATCTGGGAAGAAGATAATTATGTTCAGCTGGGTATTTGCATCCACTTCACATTTTTTAATCCAGAACACTAACTTGTTTTAGTGAAAACTGTATACAGTTATTTGGACAGCAGAATGCCATTTTAAAGAATCTATGAAAGCTGTCTATTTTTGATGTGTCCAGGCATCGCGAAATGTAGGCACAGTCCCTTCAATAATGTACATTATGCACAAATTGGAAAATTGCACAAAAATGAAGAAACAGCACTGCCATCTATTGGACAGCAAAATAAATTATCCTGTGCTATACAACTACAGAACAAACGTTTTACTTCAACCTCTGCCTGTTTTTTCCCATTTAAAGTATAATCAATTATTTTCGCTTTCTATGTATTTAGGATAAGCTAATCATGTTAAATATCAGTATGATATTAGTTAGAAGTAACACATAGAAATAAGATCTCAAGAGTCCCAGTTAGGCATTAATTTGACCAGCTCTTTCCTTCAGCACTGTAGTAGCACAAATGCCATTTCCAATAGCTGTCTTCATAAATCTGGCAATGTCTGAATTCTGGGCACCTAATGGAGTTACCACTAAAGAAAAACACATGCTCTGAAATTTAGAGGTTTGTACTGGACATGAAAACTAATTAACAGTCTCAATAATATTTGTCTTAAATTGTTTATTTTAAGTGCAAAATTTATAGCATTCAGTTTGGTGTGGGGGGAAGAAGGAAAGGGATGGTTTTTGTTCAGCAGTACTAAGGGCTGCAGGAAATTGTGATACATGACAGACTTATGATCTGGCAGAATGTTTCTCCTGGGGTTTATAATTAGTGTCATGTTACATATTTCTAAGTATTATATCTGGATTCAAGATAGTAAAGTATCATCCCAAAACCTGCAAAGTCAGCAAGCTTGATGTTATTTAGTTTTCTAATTCTTTTATTCTTCACAGGAATCAGTGGACCTATTTACATTAGCAAAATTATGTCCATATACACACTTAGAGGCATTATCACAGCATCTGAATGTATGCTTTCTCAAATGTATCAAGATTTACAAGGTTTGGGAGTACATTGGGGTTACGAAGATAAGTTAGGAACTCATTGGCTATGGGCAGTGCCCAGTGAAGAGAAAGTGAGTTGTTCCCTTGACTTCAGTGGGTGTTACATCTATTCCAAACTGAAATTCATATACTGATCTAATGACCCAAAATATATCCTCAGTCTATTCCATGTGAATAATGCTCACCTATGGCGAGATCTCTTGCCTTCTTAAATGGGGATTTTCAGTATCCACAACATATCTTTATTGTTTTTAAGATGGGTATGGCTGTCAAGGAATAAATTTAAAGAATGTCCAGTTTTCTTACATTTCAAATTTTGTTATTATCATTAAGAAGTAATGATTGTTATCATTAGATAGTAATATCACTAGGTAGTAATGTGCCCTATTAGAAAATGGGAAACTTAATCATACCTTTTCTCTTTCAAGACAGTAGGTGGAACCTAATTCACATAAATGCATCAATATTGAATCATCAGTATTATGTAAAATAATACATTTGCATTAATATATGTGTTAATTCATGAGAACAGGAACAAAAATTTCTAGTATATGAGAGATACATTTAAGAACAGAAATAAGTAATAATCCATTGTATAGGTTTTGTCTTTTTTATGGTTTAATAGTTCTTCTTTATAACGTAAGTTTGTGTTTTTGAAGGAGGGAATCAACAATAGAATGCCACCAGCTGTATTGTGTAAGGGTAATATGTTTTAATACTGACCCCTAGTGACAGAATTATATTTTTGAACTACTGTGCTGCAAGGTAAAAGGATTTTGTTGGATTTTGTGGTTTGTATTGTTATTTTTTACGTTAGCACCCATTCTTCTGATTCCTATG